TTACTGTAGACCAAGCCCAAATTAAAATGCACCACTTTAGACGATCTAGGAACAGATCATCAGTCCCACAAAATAAAATAATTTAAAACTTTGATATGGAAATAGCGTTAGTTTTAAGTATCAGAGGGGTAGCCGTGTTAGTCTGAATCTGTAAAAAGCAACAGGGGGTCCTGTGGCACCTTTGAGACTAACAGAAGTATTGGGAGCATAAGCTTTCGTGGGTAAAAACCTCACTTCTTCAGATGCCAGAAGAAGCATCTGAAGAAGTGAGGTTCTTACCCACGAAAGCTTATGCTCCCAATACTTCTGTTAGTCTCAAAGGTGCCACAGGACCCTCTGTTGTGTTAGTTTTAATGTTTAATAAAGAGCCTGGAGTCTGAAGGAACTGCTGTAAAAACAGAATATAAACAAATAAAACCATGTTTTAGAAACACTTTATAGTGTTTTTTAAGTATAATGTTTATTTTTTCACTTGCATACTGCTAGCAAAAATTGTAAGGAGAACACTCATATGGAATGCAACACAGCATTCTAAAAGAAAGAGAATCTCATTTTGCTACATTTCATGTCTTGTCTGCCATTTCTTTTCAAAGTGCCAGACTCTAGTTTTGTTGTTTGTTTCCTTCCTACCTCACTTGCTAACATAAATTTTCTTTAGGGTGTTTAAGTACAGCTCAGCATTCCATGCACAGCCACAGCAAAAATTCTCTTTCTCAGAAAGGAAATAAAATATTTTATTGTTTGCAGCACTCAGTGCCGCTCAGCTTTATTGTTGTGTCAAGGGGCTCATTTGGGTACTATACTGATGATATTTAGAAACTAAACAGGATGTCACTGAACACACATAAAGTGAGTTTGAATTTGTCGCAGAAGGGAATCGAGTACTTACAGCTGTAATCGTAATGCCTCCTACAGTCCCTCATCCCCTCTTATTTCTTATATGAGATGCCAGTCTAAAAAAAAAGCTGTTCCACCTTGTATTTAGCAGTGCACTCTGAGTTAGTTTCCCAGACCTTAAGAAGAGTTCTGTGTAAGCTCAAAAGCTTCTCTCTTTCACCAACAGAAGTTGGTCCAATAAAAGGTATTACCTCAGCCCCCTTGTCCCTCTAATATCCTGAGACCAACACAGCTACAACTATACTACGTACAGTGGGGGGGGGGGGAAGCAAAGCTGTCTTGCATCAATGGATGAAGGAGAGATAGTGAGTTGCTTTGAAGTGCTGTACTCACAGAGTCTGACATGAGAATCCAGCAATTGAGGGGTTGTTTTTTGAGTCAGAATGTACTTTGTTTGTTTGTAGCAATGCTGCACTTTTCCTCTAAAGCAGTGAGGGCGGAGGGAGGACAGAATAATAAAAGCTGTCTCTATGAATTTTGTGTCTCCCCCCCTCATTAGCTGTCTGTACTGTACCTTATTTTACCTTCTCCTTTTTATTGCTTAATTTTTGACAACATGCTTTCTTATTTGGGGCCCAATTCTGCCACTCTTTCCCACATTGAATTGCTGCTTATTCCACATATGGTCCAATTCACTGCAGTGGAACTGTATGTACACCCATGCAGAGAGCCAAGACAAGGCCAACATACCACTTAAGCCTTTAAAATAAATGATATGTGATAGTCTTCTGCTTAGGGGTGAATTTCCCCCTAGAAAAGTACATGAGTAATGATGGCAGAACTGGTTCCCTTAGTTACACCTAATGAGAGTGGATATTATTTATTGCTTTGTGGATTTTTTCTTCCCTCCCCCAAAATTTCATTTCTGAGTTGGTAAGTATGAGTCTGATTTTTAGGGTTACATGGCAACAACACATTGAACATGGGGAGGTTTGTTATTAATATCGGAGTGTGCCTTTCATCCTAAAGGATCTCAAAGCACTTTGTAAACATATACAGGAATTCCTTCGCCCTCTGTAACCTGACACTGATGGATATACGCTGGCCCAAATAGCTCCCAGACAGGAACTATGGAATGGTTTTGTCACCTCTTACATTCTCTCATTTTGTTTGTCGCCATTTTGTTTTATTCCATTTAAGGGCCCAGAAGGTCACATAGAAAACATCCAGCTTATTGTGTTACTGTCCTCACTAGCATTAAATCCATTTCCTTTACATCTATGAGCGCAAACTTCTGAAAAGACAAATATCTCCTGTGAGGTGCCAGACACACTCAGCTCATCACCTCCCAGGAGATCCTCAGCACTTTGCAACTACAGTCCCTGACCTGCCTAAAAGAGGTATTTATGTGCCTCATTTTAACTCTTAAACAGCCAAGTTTAAAAATATGCCACAGCACGTTCATTTAATTTTCTTTAAGTACTGACAACTTAAGCTGCTTACAGCATATGAAATGTTTTCTTCTGATTACTGAATAAAGCTCAGAAAAAACCTCCCTAACATTATTAAAAATCACTCTCCAGCATACTGCAGTGATGCACCCCAGTGTAAAAGCATGGATCAGTGAGTATTGCCAGCTCTTTAATCTTATAAAAAATGCTAGACTAATGTCCACTCCCAAGTAGTGACTGAGGGGCTGATCCTGAGACGTGCTGATCGTCTGCAGCTCTTATATTTTCTGTCAAAGATGCCAGTCCCCACTGTAAAATTTCTTCTTTAAATACCCTATCTCTGTTACAGTTTATAGATTTTTTTTTTCCGTGCAGGAGGTTTCAATACATGGTCATTACCCCTGTCACTCTGTGAGAGAAACCAAGTATTCCTTCTTTAAAATGTAAATTGATTTTCACCCTTATGACTT